AATTATACACATGAACGCTGCATTGACAAGATAGATACACGTGAAGTTTGGTTAGCCGATGAGAAAGAAATATTACAAAAAATTAAAAAGGCCTGAATTTGGTCTTTTCCATATTTCATTTTCTGATGAAGCTTTCATGAAAGCGAAACATGTCAAATGAATAAACGTTTCCTGTTTCTTCCTTAGTCTACAATTCTGTCGATTCTCAATGCATATTTGATCTATCTTTGATTCCAGTTCATACACGCACACACACATATATATATATTATGAAATAGACAATTATTTTAAGACATTTTTATGCTTATACATTCGTTTTATCGATACAAATATTTAAGCAAATATTCTGTTTATAATAAACAGTATCAAACAACATTTACCGGCCTGAATGTCCGAGAAATTTTCACAGAAAATATTCGTCCTCCAACAGGATTCGAACCTGTATCCTATACAGAACTGTCATTTAGCTTAACCTGCCATTACCGATTTGACCACAGAGGAGTGTTCGGTTAGCAAGGTCGGATTTACTGTCTTTAAACTACAATCTTCCATGAATCTCTCCCGTACATTCATATCTGCTCACGGCGTATCAAATGTAAACAAATGACGTCACACATTATGAAATGGACAAAGAAAAAGACAATTATTTTAAGACATTTTTATGTTTATACATTCTTTTTCTTTTCTTTATTGTTGTACATCATGATGAAAAGAGGGGATAAACCTTCCAACGTTCATGTTATAGTTCGTGTTATTTCAACCGGCTTTGTCGTTATCAGTAACTAAGTGCTTTCAACATCGTAGACAGTTATTTGTCAGCTACATCTTGTCATTTTCAAAAGAAAGATATTTTAAGTAGGTTATTTATTTTCTATTATAACGTCAACTATTAGTATAAGTATACATACATGCATATATATATATATATATATATATATATATATATATATATATATATACAGGCATATGTAGACATATAGAGAGAGAGAGATAGAAAGAGAGATAAAAAAGCAAGAGTGAGACAGAGTAGATATCAATACTGAATGGTGACAATCACTTTCATTTATTTGGTTTGGTTTATTTTGCTTTACGGCATATCGACCTCAATGGGTTATTTACTGCCGAAACGATTTTTAGGATAGGTTAAGTTTGTTTGACTTTTTTATTTTGCTTTACGGCATATCAATCTCAATTGGTTATATAATGCCGACACGATTTTTAGGACAGTTCGGTTTAGTTTGGTATTTTGCTTTACGGCATATTAACCTCAATGGGGTATTTACTACCAACACGATTTTTAGGATATGTTCCGTTTCGTTTGTTTTATTTTACAGCATATCAATCTCAATAGGTTATTTACTGCCGACACGAATTATAAAATAGGTTCAGTTTAGTTTGCTTTATTTTATTTAATGGCATATCAACCTCAATGGATTATTTAATTCCGAGCCTTTTTTGGGGGGGATAATTCGCTTTGGCTTGGTTTGGTTTGGTTTATTTTGTTTTTCCGCATATCAATCACAATGATTTTAAGATAAATTAGTATGAATAGAATATGTATTATTTATATAAAAAAATTTGGTTTGCAAATCAGATTTCATTGGCGTAATTTTGTTAAAAGGGGTTTTGTAGAGAGTCAAATGTATTGCAGAATTTTTTTTTCAAAAATATATTGCTGTTTTAAAAATTTATTTTTATACTTTCATAGGGTTTTCACCTCAGTTTGTGGGTTAACTATTTTCCTACAGCTGAGACATTAACAGATGCTACCAGCCGGGGTCAAAGTGGACCTAGGAACAGCAGCCATTAAATGGTGGTTACACGCACCTCAAAGCCTCCCCATCAGAGGCTTTGCTGCCGGATGTAGTTTATCGTCATACCCATGTCGAGTTGCATTTTGGTATGAAGATAGCATTGAAGCGTAAAGCTGAAAGACACCATGAAGCATTAATTTTTATGTACACACTGTTATATATCTCTAAATGCTCTGTCCCCTATATCGACCACACTTCCCCTATAAATACAGATTTGAATTATATATATATATATGAATTTATATATATGAATTTATACACCAATATTATATTAAAATTATAATTGAACTTTGAATCTGCATATAATATAGTGTTCCTCCCATGAGACACAGGATTTTTTTATAAAACAAAAAATATTTTTGCCCTTCCTTGCCGTTAAAGGAGTGCCCTTTGCCATGCTGATGTTGCTACATGCCTTACTTCTTGCCTATCTCACCCTGCGAATTTTTTCTAAGCTCTATACTAAACATTAAATCTGTTACGAAAAAAGAACTAAACAAAATGAACACAAAACGATCAGCTTTAAAAAAGGACTCGTAACTGGAAAAACCGAATGAAAAAGAATGTTAACAACAAATAATTATTCACACCCAACCCAGTTCTGCGGAATCAGAAACAACGTTGAGTTTAAGCAAGCGAATGAGCCAATTGGAGTAAAGTGCCATGCAGATTTAATTTTTTTCCCACTTATGACGAATGCACCTATCGATTTTTTTTTTTTTTTTGCATGATAGCATGCTAGTTAACATTCGTGTCAGTCAGCTGTTGGTTCTCACGCTGGACAATAGAATCTTCCTGCATATTCGTGGCAGCCAGCTATAGGCTCTCGCTCTGGCCAGTAGAAAATGGATGCAAACTACATGAAAACTACTGTAGTAGCATGAAAAAATCGATTATTTCCTCTATCGATGGGAGTTGGGAAATGCAAAGTCGGTCTTGGCCTTCCTGCTAACTTGGAGCATGTGCATGTAAATTTTGGTGCAAATCCGTCGAAAATTGCGGCCGTGCATTCGTTACACACACACATACTGCCTTTTATAGATAGAGATCTTATTAAGTAGTTCATTTACCATTTCTGCATGATGAATTGGGTAACTATGAAACTCTGAGTTGCACTACAAAGGTAGTTATATGTCAATTTATTAATCTTGGTACGATAATTTTTTCTACAACTTGCTATACGCGAGACGTCTTATCCTCCTACCCAACTTATAATTCTCTTCATCTATGTTTATAATCTCATTCCCCCTCAACACACACTAATAATAATAGACTTGCCTAACACTTTTAACCGATCAAAACTTTAAATTGAAGTTTATTTTCATAAAAAGTCTTGCACATCGAGGAATCAGACAGGGATCGGGTTTTTTCTAACAATACGATTTCCACCAGAAAATACACCATCTACAAAAACATCTGTCGGTGAGTAATTCCCATTTCTATGTTTATTTCTTTGTCCGTTGATGAAGGACACAGGTGTGTCCTTAAAACCTTCCTCTCCCTGCTTCATTTTTGTCATATGTTTAATAATTAATATTTAATAAATGTTTATCGTACTGATTATATTGGTACCCTTTCGTTTGTTTTAGTTTTATTGACCAATCTATCTATTATATATATATATATATATATATATATATATATATGCAAAAAATGCTCAATACACATGAGATAAAATATAAGTAAAAATAAAAATAACATGTAGAGCTTTTACATTTAAAAATCAGGAGGTCAGTTAAAATACACGTCCATGGTTTTGACCTGACGGTATCTTCGGGCGATATTTTTAAAATTTAAAATTTTAATTTTAAAGTATCGCCCTAAGAGACCATCAGGTCGAAAATATATTCGCGTATTCTAACTGACCTCTTGATTTTTATATATATATATATATATATATATATATATATATATACTAAAACACATACTCAAATAAATATTTATGTATAGATATACATATATATTTCCTCATACGCCTATTAAAGCATAATCATATATATTTATGTATAAGGAAATGGATTAAATCCGCCAGATTTTTAATTTTTTTTTTTTAAATGGATACGCATTTTTAGAAAATGTTCTTTTTTATTTATTTATTAAACAGTATATTTATTTATTCAAGGTCGGTCAAGATAAATAAATAAATTACTATTTAATAAATAAATAAAAACAGATCATCTACTCAAATATGAGTGTCCATTTTTAAAAAATGACGTTTAAACATATATATATATATATATATATATATATATATATATATTAATGTGAACATTAAAGTCAACACTCAGAGGCGACAAGCTGTTTCATGCTGGACGCATTCGAGGCCTGACGATTGCGTTCACCATGAAACAGCCTGTCGCCTCTGAGTGTTGACTTCAATATTCACTTTTATATTTATATTTACACACACTGTATCTCTGATATTTAGCACTTTATCCCATAAATATAGCAAAACACCTTAAAATATATATTTATATATATATTCATATATATATATATATATATATATATATATATATATATATATGTATTTAGGTATATATACGTGCAGCCATGTATTAAATGGTATATTTATGCAGACATATTCATCAATATATCAAACAGTGTACTCGCATAGTTTATAAGGTTGAAAGAGTAAATCGTTTCCTTTATTTTATTTATGTTTTCATCTGAAATTCTTCTCTGGTCAAAAGTAAATGGAAATAAATGGGTCCAGACTGTACACTCGTCGGAAATACCAGCCTCTTTCCAATCTCGTGAAGAGATTTGAAATAAATCAAAAAGAAGACGTTGTTATAGTTTGCATAAAAGATTTCCTTTGGCGAACCGGAAATACTTCAACAAGCTGAGCGGGTGGAAAAATTCTTTCACGCAGGTTTTTGTAGGGCGCGTGTCCGACAGAGTAGATGAGACGACATTGATATGCCGAGTGATGTTTCTTACGGAGAAGGAAATGGTGTACGTTAAAATAGTAAGAAAGAAAGAAAGAAAGAAAGAAAGAAAGAAAGAAAGAAAGAAAGAAAGAAAGAAAAAAGAAAAAAAGAAGTAAAGAAAGAGAGGTGTAAAGTAAGTTAGAAGTAAAGTAAGAAAGAAGTAAACAAAATGAAGTAAAGAAGAAAGGAAAGAAAGAAAGAAAAAAAAAAGAAAAAGAAAGAAAGAAGTAAAGAAAGAGAGATGTAAATAAAGTTAGAAGTAAAGTAAGAAAGAAGTAAACAAAAAAGAAGTAAAGAAGAAAGAAAATAAAGAAAGAAAGAAGTAAAGAAAGAAAGAAAGAAAGAAAAAAGAAAGGAAAAAAGAAAGAAAGAAGTAAAGAAAGAGAGATGTAAATAAAGTTAGAAGTAAAGTAAGAAAGAAGTAAACAAAAAGAAGAAAGAAAATAAAGAAAGAAAGAAGTGAAGAAAGAAAGAAAGAAAGAAAAAAGAAAAAGAAAGAAAAAAGAAATAAAGAAGTAAAGAAAGAAAGAAAAAAGAAAGAAAGAAAGAAAGAAAGAAAGAAAGAAAGAAAGAAGTAACGAAAAAGAGATGTAAAAAAGTTAGAAGTAAAGCAGGAAAGAAGTAAACAAAATGAAGTAAAGAAGAAAAAAAATAAAGAAAGAAAGAAGTAAAGAAAGAAAGAAAGAAAGAAAGAAAGAAAGAAAGAAAGAAAAAAGAAAGAAAGATGTAAAGAAAGAGAGCTGTAAAGAAAGTTAGAAGTAAAGTAAGAAAGAAGTAAACAAAAAGAAGAAGAAAGAAAATAAAGAAAGAAAAAAGAAAAAAGAAAGAAAGAAAGAAAGAAAGAAAAAAGAAAAAAAGAAAAGAAAGAAGAAAAAGAAAGAAAAAAAAAGATGTAACGAAAAAGGGTGTAAAAAGTTAAGAAGTAAAGCAGGAAAGAAGTAAACAAAATGAAGTAAAGAAGAAAAAAAATAAAGAAAGAAAGAAGTAAAGAAAGAAAGAAAGGAAGAAAAAAGAAAGAAAGATGTAAAGAAAGAGAGCTGTAAAGAAAGTTAGAAGTAAAGTAAGAAAGAAGTAAACAAAATGAAGTAAAGAAGAAAAAAAAAAAGAAAGAAAAAAGTAAAGAAAGAAAGAAAGAAAAAATGAAGAATAAAAGAAAAGGAAAAATAATGAAATATAAAATAAAATAAAAAGAGCGCATAAAAGAGAACATATTCACGACGAAAGAAAGAAAAAGTAAAGAAAGATGTAAAGAAAGTAAGAAATAAAGAAGAAAGATAGATGTAAAGAAAGAAAGTAAAAAGTAAAGAAAAAAGAAAGAACAAAATAATGTATCGAAAAAGAAAGAAAAGAAAAGAAAAATAATTAAATATAAATAAAGTAAAAGATTTTGAATGTAAAAAATTGAAGGTCTAAAAGAATATATTTACGACGAAAGAAAGAAAGAAAGAAAGAAATGAACTACATAAGTTGATGTTAATAAAGAAAGAAGAAAACTGAAAAGAGTTTAAAAATATCTAATCAAAAATTCAGAAAAATACAGATTAACAAAAACATGAGGATATGAATAGAAAAGAAAAAAAGAAAGAAACAAAGAAAGAAACTTATTCAAAGTAAATGAAGGAAAATACATTTTTGAAACAAAAGACGAACGCTACGAAATATAGAAACAACGAAATAGAAAAAGAGTATCAAGAAAGAAGGAAATCAAAGAAGAAAGGAAAATGCATAATAATAATCAAAGAAAGAAAGTGGGCGTTTCTAGCCAATCAAACTCTTGCCTGTTTCATGCATTCACCTGATTTCTAGTTCAAACGCAGGTGTGCTTATGGCAGGTTGTGTAAAAGTCCGTCCAAGGTGAATGGGACACAGGAATTCCTGAAAAGAGGGGGGAAAAAACACCAAGAGGGCAGCGTGCGAAAATTGCCTTGCTGCAAAGAATCTACGCGGACATTTGTGAATCCACGTGCAAAGTGAAACCTTAGACATTGGGTTAATTACTAATTACGGCAGGGTTTTTTTTTTCGTTGTTTTTTTTTTTTTTTCGCTTTTCTTTTACTGTTCTTTTTTTTTTTTTTTTTTGTAGTCTGTTTGGTAAGTAGAGTGTCAAGCAAGTTTATTTTCAATGAGGTAATAAAAAAGGGAAATTTGTGAATTTGGGTGGTTAGTGATAAAAAGGTTGAAAAGATACACTGAGTTAGAGAATAGAGAAAATGAATAACATGTAAATAACAAATTTTAAAAACAAAACAAAAATGATAAAATTAAAGAAAGGAAAAAGAACGAAACAAATTAGGAAGGAAGGAACTATGAATGAAAGAATGAATGAATGAAGGTAGAAAGAAAGAAAGAAAGAAAGAAAGGGAGGGAGGAAGGAAGGAAGGAGGAAGGAAGGAAGGAAGGAAGGAAGGAAGGAAGGAAGGAAGGAAGGAAGGAAGGGAGGGAGGTTGAAAAGCCGATAAAGAAACAAAAGCTCCAGCTCATAAACGTAAATCTAAAAATAAAATAGAAGGAAAAAATTTCAAAGAACGAAAAAACAAAAAGATTTAAAAAAAAAAAAGAAATGAGAAAACCAAAAACGATGAAAAAGAAAGAAAATTAAAAAAATAAAATAAACACGATTTAAAAAGAAAGAAAAGAAAAATCAAGACGACATTAAAGAAAAGCACCAATGACAGAAACGAGAAGGAAAGTCGAAATTATGAAGTAAGAAAGAAAAAAAAGAAAGCAAGAGAAAAATGGAAGGAGAGAGAGGGGGGGGGGAGAGAGGGGAGGGGAGAGAGGGGGGAGAGAGAGAGGGAGGGGAGAGGGAGAGAGAGGGAGGGAGAGAGGGGGGGGAGGGGAGAGAGGGGAGGGGGAGAGAGGGAGAGAGAGAGAGACTGGATAAAAATGAAAGCCAGTAAGAAGAAAGTGAAAAAGAAAGGAAGGAAACGTTAATGATTTTCCCTTACTTCTTCCTTTCTCATAAAAAAAGAGGAACAAACAAATAAGAAACAAAAAAAAATGTTTGTAGCGAGGTAAGCAAAGACTGACAAAAAAAAAAGAGGATATTAAAAAAATATCTGTCTATATTTCTGAGATGAGGTATTGTAATCATTTGCATTACATTTTTCGGACTGTTGTCCTCATCTTTATTACCCTATTCATGCCGTTTCAGCCGCCGTACGCTCCGTATTGGAATTTCGAACCCCTTATTTCGTTCACCGGTGTATATTCTTCTAGTTCCACGTGACATACCTCTACTCTATGTCTCAGTTATCTCCCATTAACTCAACTCTCCAAGATTTTGATCCCCCACAAGGACAGATGGCCCAGCGGATAAAAGCATTGGTCGGATCCAGAAACTTGACCCAAAGTGTTGGGAGTTTAGTACCTGGCTGCTGCAGTGATGAACAAAAATTTGGAGAGCTGAGTTAACGGAAGATAACTGAGATATCTGGAAGAAGCATGGTACGTGGAACTAGAACAATCTGTGGCAATGAAGATGAAGAAAACAGTCAGAACAATCTAAATAATGTAATTATGAAGAAATAAGTTAAATAATTATAATAAATGTATTATAACATGGAAAGAAAGATAAATCGACAACAGTGGGAAAGAATGACTTGCTTCCAATGAAAGAAAAATAAAAGGCCAAAAGGAAAGAAAAAAAATGAGTAATGAGAGAAAGAAAGGACGAAAACATTAATAAGTTAGGCAGTTATGTGCCATGCGTGATACACGCTTAGGCGGTCATGTATCTTTTGATACATGACTGACGAGGCAGATTTTCCACGAAGTAAGTTGCCATATCTTTTTTACAATAGACCAGTTGCCATCCAAGACTACAAGAACCCGGCCAGTCCTGCTATTTATCCATAGCTGCAGGGAGAAGAAGAGGATTCATACCTTTCCCAAGGGTATTATTAGCACGTAAGTGAATATAATGGATTCGACTGGAATTCGAACTCGGCTCTCCGACCTAACGTCTAGTAACTCTTAGTAACTAGTAACTTTAATCCGACAATCATGAAACTGGCCATTGGTGTGTCAAATAAAATGCCCAAAAAAACTAAACAAACCTTCTATGCATTAAATTAAATATTTTTTGTTATATTAAAAGTAATTCATAAATTTATAAAAACTAATAAAAAAATTAATAAATACATGTAAATAAAATAGTTAATAACGGGGGAGTGCAAAAGTAGGTATACTGTAATGAAAAACAACACGTGTACACAAAACATATTGTATTGATTATACAAACATATCAGTAACAATAAGTACTGTTTCAAAATCCATTTAAGCTCCTTATCTCTTAATTTACCAGCCATCATTAGATTACCATTTTACCTGCAAAACATTTATTATTATTATTTATTAAAAAAATAAATATATTATAATAAAAATTATGAAAATAAACATGATGTTTTATGGTGCCTTTAGGTATATATATATATATATATATATATATATATATATATATATATATATATGAACAGAGAAACTATCATATATACAAATATATCATTAATAAATCTGTCAGTCAGTTATGTGCCTTGCGTGATACACGCTTAGGCGATCATATATCTTTCGATACATGACTGACTTTATATGATTGGTTACAATTAGGAGGCACGGTGGAGTAACGGCTCGGACTGAGGAATCGGAGAACAGAGTTCGAATTCCATCCGAATCCATTACATTCACATACATGCTAATGCCGATGAAAAAGGTATGAATCCTCTTCTTCTCCCCTCAGTGGTGGGTAAATAGCAAGACAAACCGGGTTCTATAGCCTTAGATGGCAACTGGTCTACCCCAGAAAGAAATGACAACCGACTGCGGGAAAAAAATATGCCTCGTCAGTCATGTATCGAAAGATACATGATCGCCTAATCGTGTATCAAGCATCGCACATAACTGCCTCCAATCAGATGTTAACTAGGGCAATACATGGCTTGTGAATTTGAACGCCTTCAAAACGAAACTGTTATAATTTAATCATTACAGAGAGCCATTATTGCTTTCCGTCAGCATGGCTGATGCTAACCTCCAAGCGAGGGATGTCTCATTGCACATTCTTGCTCGCACTTTTTACACTGACATGAAGTGGGGCGATTGTATAGAACCTGTTGTTACTACATTTACTTCACTGTGTCGTACCAGAAACTCCTCCCGCCAAAATCCATTTTCCGCATTTATAAATTTACCACTTGTCCGTGCATTGAATATCACTACCATATCGGGTCTGGTGTTCCTGTAATATATCTAGAGATGCACAACAAAATTAAAATAAGGGTCTTTGTTGTTAGTCTAGCGGAGAAATTCTCAGTGCCACATCTATGCGCTTGCGTTGAAATTTTATGTAATATCAGTTATCCTATGAGGCTGTGAATGCTGGACAATCTCTCCACAAATGAAGAAGAGAATTGAAGCAACAGAAATGTAGTTCTACAAAAGGATGCTGAGAATATCACGGACCGAACGAAGTTCTACATAAAATGGAAACAAAAATGATACTTATACTTAACATCAAGAAGAAACAATTGAAATTACTAGGATGCATAATGAGGTAAGAGGGCTTGGAAATTTTGTTACTCACAGGGCAGATCGACGGTAAGTGATACAAAGAAAAACAACTCATAGGGTCCATGCATAGCTTGAGTAAATGGATGGCTGAGCAAGGTTTGGAAGAGATGATGAAAAGACAAAACATACTGAGAGCTACTAAGGACAGGATGTTGTGAAGAAACATCATCGCCATTTTTTTTTCAAAAGGGACACGGTGCATAGAAGAAGAAGAGAAAGAAAAGAAGAAGAAGAAGAAAAGAAAAATGTTATCCGTCCTGAAAGTAACTGACTTCTTCAGTTACTTTCCCACGTGACATGTCTTCCCTCCGTTTTGTTTATAAATATACTCATAGCACTATTTACATTAATCGGACTGTTGTCCTCATCTTTGTTACCATATTTATTACAACGCTTCGGCCTTCTTCAGTTGCGTGGAATGTCAAACTGAACTCTTTATTTCGCTCACTGCGGTAGACTGTTCTAGTTCCACGTGCCATGTCAGTTATCAGTTGCTTAATTCTCTCTCCAAGTTCTCCACTGTCTTAACCGGGTATTGAACACACACTCTTTGTGTCCTGTCACTGCATTTAACTGTGCCATGAAATTCTGTGTATTATAAACCTAATATCTTCAGCACCATTTTTTACCAGTGCTCATATTGCAATTTTTGCTGTTATAAATTGGATATTTTTTACCAGAGCTCATATTGCAATTTTTGTTTTTATTATCGCTTTTCTCTGGCACTCCTTGTTACTGGTTCGCATAGTGTGTTCATTTCTATGCTTGGTCGGCTCAGGAGATTTTTGTGGCTTAGCATATGTGCTGATTCCTTAAGTTTACGAATTTTCCAATGGTGTTCTTTGACAATGATCTCAACCTGATTCCACAGAAGGCGATGATCTCCCTTTTCTCTCCATATGTGGTCAGTCACGCCTGATTTTT